TAATAGAGATACATAGAATTAACACCATGAGGTACAATCACTTTACAAACATATTTACACACACAGTTATACCAGGACGATCCAGTCTCTTTCCTCCATACACTAAATTAGCTCCTTCTTCAACTCCCACCTTAATATAATGTATCAAGCTATCAAGATGAGCTCTATTGTCACAAATAGGAGCAATAGTTACTAATAAAGTGTTTACTTGTGATTCTGAGGGCCATGAGATACTGAACGATCCAGTGGATCACCTATCTTCATTTTCTTAACCTCTTCAATTACTCTCTCAATAAATTCATCATGTATTTGTCTTTCAACAAACAAACGTCCAGCAGCAATACAGTTTTCCCCTTTATTGAAGAACACTGCACCTAGTGACTGATTCAATAGTAAACACACACTCGGTCAGTGTTGTATCTAACTTGTCTAACAGCTCTATCAAGATCACAATCCCTAAAGATGATGAGTGGGGATTTACCACCTAACTCAAGTGATACTCGTTTAGCATTACTCTCAGCACAACTAAAATAAAATAAGTACAAGTGATTACATACAAAAAATGAATGAGTAGGATTCACAGTGTATTTATCACACAAAAAGGCAAGTTAGGTTCTAAATGATACCAGCAATAACTCTAATCTTAATTCTGATGCAAATTTCTTTCTACATTGTACCAGCTAAGCCAATTTACATTAAAACATAAGGATTGTTGTTGGAAGGGTTTCCCAAAAAGCATGCTAAGCACTATTATTACAGTACATGGCATTTGGAGCAACTTTAAAATTTTATAAATAAATCCAAACTTGATCAGAATCAGCTCAAAAATGATACACAGTAAAGGTATGTATATGTATCAAAAAAATTATAAAAATGAAAAATTCTTTTCTATTCATTTTTATTGAAATTTGGCCAAAAACTCTGTACAGGGACTTTGGCCTAATTTTTGAGTAACTTTAAAAACTTGTAAAAAATCCAAATTTGATTAAAACCAGATCAAATTTTCTATGAAACGTATGCACATGAATGTGCACTAGAAAAAATTATAAAAATGGAGAATTTTTATATTAATTTTGGGAAAATTAAGCCAAAGATCCTGTACTATAGTACAGGGACTTTGGCCCAATATTTAAGTAACTTTAAAAATTTGTAAAAAAATCTAAATTTCATTGGAATTAACTCAAACTTTCTACGCAAAATAAGTACACGTATATGTATCAGAAAAAATTATAAAAATGCAGAATTATTTTCTTGTAATTTTTTGAATGCCCTAAGACAGGGTCTCTGGTCCAATTTTTGAGCAAATTGGCAAAGAAGCTGCATGAGCACTATGCTAAAATCAGTCATTTAGTGCATTACTTTCTGTCATGTTTTGAGGTAACAATGTGTTATCAAAACAATGTATTGTGTGATCATGATTTAAGGCCACCATACACTATGAAATATATTTTATACAGGAGTCAATTGAGCTTGAAACATGTTACATGAAGTTGATACATATAGGATAGCTTAAAATGAATTAACACAAACTATGGAGTAAATCCTCGTTCTTTTTTGAAATTTTAAACTTAATTAGTACAGGTTTTCATTTTGACGAAATTTTGAGAAAATTCATAGAACATGATCAAAATCAGCTAAACCTTAAAAAACAAATTTAGATTTTTCTCCTGACCATTTTTGATAAAATATTACGTAGTACAGGGGTTAGAGAGTTTTTGGCAAAATTTTTAAGCTAAAAATTGGTAATAATGATTGGAACCAGCTCAAACTTATAATTTTGCATGAGAAATTATTTGATATCATTTTGGGTGAAATACCTTGCCCTACATAGTTCCCTATATAGTATAGGGTCTTAGACTGAGCAACTTGTGTATCAAATCGTTGACAATTAGTAACTTGCTGCATTACATGTAAGTAGGATTCACTTCAAGATGACTGGCAGAACTTATGCAACCTTGCTATAATATGGTACATTTTCTGCACAATAATGATTTTATTAATTCCAATTAATAAGAGCTTGTTAAAGTAAATGAATACAAGTACATGTAGCTATTATTGTTGAAAACAACAACATATAGTGCAAATACCTCTTCATTATTCCTTTACCAACTTCAGTCGAGCCAGTGAAACCAATTTTTCTGACATCCATATGATCGCATAATCCTTGACCAACTATAGACCCTGCATTATAAAAGATACAAAAATATAAAATACAAATAA